ACCCGGCCAGGACGTCTGCTCCCGGGACGCCACGCCCGCTCCTGGGCCACCCGGAGCTGCACCCGCGCGCGGCTCTGCAGCCCGTTTTGCAGAAGGGGCTTCGTGGCCCGCTAAGTCTCCACGAACCGCACGTCCCTGTGCCCCCGACTGTCCTCAGCTCAACCCCAGGGCCACGCCCTTCCCTGCAGCCCGGCCGAGCTCGCGGCTCCCCGGCCCCGCCGCCCGGAGTCCGCACAGTGTAGCCTTGTTCCCGCCGGCCTGTGGGCAGCGGCGAGCACGTATAGAATCCAGTGTGGGAGCCGTTGGGGACGTGCATGCTCGGGAGTGAACGTGCATTCCGTTACCTCGTTCCCTGCCCCCGGTTTGGAAGCTAAGAAGGGCGGGGGGAACCATATTGAACGCCCGAGCTCCTAACAGTGCAAGCATTTAACGGATGTGGAAGATACGCTAGGCGGTATAGACTTACCTTCTATCCGGCGCAGACAGCCCACTGGGACCCCCTAACCGGAATCTTTGTGAATAGTCTATGTTCATTGGGACCAGCAGATGGCGTAATGGCTATGTCGCTGGACTGCCATGTAGTCAACCGCGGTTCGAGTCCCAGACCCGGTGGCTTAAATTCACGCCGGGCGCGTGTGTGTGCGTGCCCAAGATCCCGAGAGGAGAATGGAGGAGAAGGGATTGCGGCGTAGCCATCCTCTCGGGAGGTGATTTCTCACTTTCTGTCTCTCTCTTTCTAGCGATTGCACGCATTCTATAGCAAAAACCTCTCAAAAAAAAAAAAGTCTATTTTTATACCATCCATCCAGAAAGATGCTGTGGATTTCTATGGGTAGGGGATCCGCTATGCTGCATTTTAAATTTTATACAATGCCTCTGCAAAAATGCAGCTAAAATAATAAGCGCTGAAAAGATTGTCAACAAATACATAAATGTTAGTCCTTTTTTTTTTTTTTTTTTTTTTTTTAAGAGCTTCTGCCCTGGGACACATGTGCTGGCCAGAGAAATTGACAAAGAGGGAAGTGAGAAATCACCCCTGGAGGGGGGATGGCCTCACCACAATCCCTTCTCCTCCATTCTCTTCTCGGGATTTTGGGCACACACGGACATATGCCAGGTGTGATTTTCAAGCCACCGGGTCAGAGCCCCAAACTCCGGGTGGCCTGGTAGGGAGTCCAGCACGTTAACCACTACACCACCTGCTGGCCCCCAGCAATGTTAGTCTTGGCTGGCAATTTTCTGAAGGTTTCTAATGAAACCCGGATAAGCAAAGTATATCCCTGGGTCTCTTCCTTACTCAAAATGGACCGAGGAATTCGGGATACAAAGTAACACTTGAGGAATCCTTGGGTCTTTTCTGATACAACCGGATGACTGAAACTAACATGTATTGCACAACTTAAAACGTCAAGCTGGGACCAGCAGATGGTGTAATGATTATGTCATTGGACTCCCACGTAGTCTACCATAGTTCGGGTCCCTGATCCGGCGACTTGAAACTCACACAGGGCATGTGCAGGTGCGTGCCCTAAATCCCAAGAGGAGAATGGAGGAGAAGGGATTGTGGTGTGGCCATCCTCCCATGGGGGGGAGATGCTTTCACTTTGTCTCTCTTTCTCTCTCTCTCTCTCTCTCTCTCTCTGTCTCTCTGGTGAGTACTCACCCCCTAGAGCAAAAAATCTCTTAAAAAAAGAAGTTATGGGAGATGAGCTGCCTTCTCTGTCACTGAATGGTGGTCACTCGTGTTTATTCTTTGGGTAGGGCCACTTTCTTTGACACTTGTGACATACATCAAAAATAGTTCGTGACCCACCTTCCTGACAGGCTCCCTCCCTAAGAGGTGATCCGCATCTAAAAATAAAAATGCTCATTATACAGTGAACACAGGATCCCAGCCATGGTCTCGAGAAAAACACAGAGCAGAGAAGGCAGAATTACAGGCTCGGAAACTGTCGAAAGAGCTTTCCAGTAAGACCATAAACCACAAATGCCAAGGAGTCGCAGATCCCCCAAATTCAGCAACAGCCTGGCATTCAGGGCTTGACAGAGAGCACAGATGGGCGAGGTGCAGAGGTTCGATTTCATGACATAGTCAATGATTTCGCTTTTTTATTTTTTTATTTTTTGGGAGAGGTTTTCACTATAGGGCGCGTGCACTCGCCAGACAGAGAGAGCCATAGAGACAGAAAGCGAGAAATCACCCCCCATAGGGGATGGTCACACCCCAATCCCTTCTCCTCCATTCTCCTCTCGGGATCTTGGGCACACATGCA